AAATTACTAAAAAATACAGTTCAAATCTTTTTAACTAAATCAGGACCAAGGAACAATCATTTGTCCATCTTCAATAATACAAATTACATTCTTTAATATCTTTCCATAAGAAGAAATCGGATATCCATTTTTTTGTTCATCATTGCTATCTAAATTTTCAAAAAAAAAAAATTTTTTTAAAACCAAAATTTTGATGAAATAATAGTTAAAAGTATTATCTTTTTTTTAAAAAAAAAAAAAAAAAAAAAAAAACTGATTTAGCGTAGTTTAATTGCGCGTAAGTAACTTTGTTTAAAAAGGTTATTCAACCTTGGATTGCTTTGGGTGTGATTCCGGCAATTTTGCTTCATGTTGTTCGTGTTCATAAATCTGGAAAGCTCGCAATGAATTATGATGCATCATTGTAAGGTCTACGTTATCAATCTCAGTCCCATTATCCATATCATTCTCATTTAAGTCTAAAGATACAGCACCGAACGAACTTGCCAATGAGTCCTGATGCAACATTGTATGGTCAAGCTCAACGTCATCTCCATCATCTCCTGGCAATGAATTTTGATGCATCGTTGTAAGATCAAGTTCAACGTTATTCATGTCTGTCTCATCGGCTATCGCGTTGATATCTAAATCGATTCGTCTTAGTAATGAATTTCGATACATCATTTTAAGATCAAGTTCAACTTCTTCAGAATCACTATCATCATCCATCGCACTAAAATCAAAAAATGAATCCTCATTTAAACATTTAACATCACTCATCTGAGAATCTGTTTCATCAAAACTATCATGATTCTCGAATTGCAACATAGGTATAGCTTCATGATTCTCGAATTGCAATACGGGTGTCGCTTCGAATTGCAATATTGGTGTCGTTTCATGATTTTCGAAATGCAAAGTTGGTGTCGCTTCATGATTCTCGAAATGCAATGTTGGTGTCGTTTCCCCCTGAATTTGCATTCGATCATTGATGTCATTAGGATAACCTTCAAGGAACTTGGAATGCTTTTCCTCAATAGGATTCATTACCCCGACAAAATCTTCCCAGTCTATGTAGAATCGACCTGCAAGATCTTCTATATCAACCGTATATTCTTCTTGTGGAAAATTCCTTGGGACATATTTATACTTTCCAATAGATAGCGTCCCTTGCCACCTTTCATCATCCTCACTCATTCCCAAATCCTTAATATTTTCATTTTCATCTTTCCTGAAATATAAGTCTCCCGTAAATTGGATTCGATCGTTTGCAAGTCTATACATAGTACAAATTCTAAATAATTCCATCTCCCGAAATTTATTCGATGATGATGAAGACGACGCGGAATTTAGTTCTTCATCATCATCATTTTCTACGGTCAATCTAATCAAATCATTCGAACGGATTACTTCATTTCCGAATATCATTTCATCATAATGCGGGCATTTCTTGGCGTTTCTAAGTCTTTTTTTTTGTGCTTTATCTTCGGTTGATGCAATAACGTCATTGCTTACTTTGAATTTATATTCTTTTTGCATTAAGTACGACCTTTGACAAGCAACGGCAATCTTGATTGACTCACTGAAAAGTACATCTATGAGTGGGTCAGCACCGGGGCTTGTCATAGCCGGATTGACTTTACGTGCGACCCATGGGATCAACGATGACTCTGGATAATATCTTATTCTATCCATTGCCAAGAGTTGTATTTCATAAATTGTCTCACGTACAAGTGTAAAATCTGACGATCTTTCCCCCGGTTCATAAATGCTCATTACATATCCCGGCCAATTATAATATTCTTCAGTATTCCTTTCATTAGGTGATTCATCCGAATTATTACTCATCAAAGTTTGATTTGGTCCAACAATCCAAACGATCTCTTTGGGACGATACACTGGACCAAAAAGAAGCGACAAGGTTGCACGATCCAAATCTGCACGCAAGATTTTGTCCTTTTCTTTGTTCTTTTCTTTGTTTTTGACCTCTTTAATGGGTTTAAGTTTCTTGGAAGAGAACTTTGAAATATGCTTAATGGTAGGCTTTAAACACAACTTTTTTGTGGGCTGCTTTTGCTTTCTGGTCGTTTTATTACAATATTTACATTCACAAATTCCCGATTTTCCCGAATGTAACCATTTTAAATGCGGTATAAATTCATTTTTCGATCTGAAACGTCTTCCACTAGGTAATCCTGATCAAAAAATTTTTTAATTTCATTTATTTTTTATTATTTTCATTATTATTTTTATTTTTATCGAAACGTTAACTAAATTTTACCAAATAAGTATATGTCAGTCCGTTCAATTAATCCATTCTTTTCAGCAGTATGATGCACGGCGGTCATAGGTAAGGATAAACGCTTAATTCTTGATGATGCCGGATATTTCGCGTGGAAGAAAAGTTTGTACCCGGAAGGAAATCCTTGCAAGATAAAAGACTCTGGATGAACATGGAACAAGATAACGATTAGATCACGAAAAAAATTTCATCATTATTGAATCTAAAAACATTTAAAAATATACCATCATCTTTTACTTTAATGTCTGAAATAGCATCACCAAGTTTTTCCATCCATTGTCTGTAAATTGGACTATCTTCAACGACCTCATAAAAGAAGAATGCGTAGTAACCACTTCTTATACGAAGGTTTGTTTCTGGCCAAGTTGAGGGATCACCGTCCGTAGTTGTAACTTGAATTGGTGTGCGTTGTGTTTTACAACCTTCACGAAGCTTTTTTACCATTTTGAAAAATTTTTTTTTTTTTTTTAAAAAAAAAAAAAAAAAAAAAAAAATTGATTCTGAATGTTGTTTATACATTTATACATTTCGATGTGTGGAGGTGATCTAACTAATAATAGGATGTCGCCATACTGAACCTGTATAAATAAAGTATAATTTCACATGAACCTTACCAAACTGTAATAATTGTAAAAAATTAAAAATATTTAGTCTGTATTTCATATATCAAGTAGTTTTAATATGAATAGATATATATAATTTATTTTTCATAAAAATATTAACAAAGGGTATTTTAATCTCATATCATTCACATCGATAATAAATATTATGAACCATCAAACTTCAAAATAATTATTATAATTTAACAATTCACAAATTACAAATTTACTAAATATAAATACAATTTCATTCAAGAAATATTTTGAAGCGAAAAAAAAAAAATTTCATTATAAAAAATAATCTAAAAATAAATAATTAATATATAAACATCATTTTAATTTCTATTTAGCCCGCCCCCTTGTTGTGTATAATTATTAAATCTAGGTGTCCTGTGATCATGTTTATATCTTGAGGGAACATTTCCATGAGATCCAATAGGAGGAGTACGCGATCTAGGATTCGATGACCTTGAAGATATTGATGATGCAGGAGAATAAGAACGGACCGATGAGGGTGCCCGACATATATTTTGTTCGTTATATCTATTTAATAAGGGATTTGTAGCTGTATTGTCACCTAAAGATGATTGAGATCCACCATATTCAGAGTTTAAATCATCATCATTGCCCGAATCCGAGGGCGTATTAGATTGTCTAAGTCCTAATTCAGCACTATTAAATACAGCTCGCGCAATTAAATTATGATCGTAATCGTGCTTTGGTTGGGTTGCCGGCGGCGTCGGTGATCTACTAGGAGGACCATGAGGATGTTGATATCCTCCAGGTCCAACCAAACCATATGATGATGTACTTGAAGCAGAGGTTCCAGACATTATAGATGAGACGCTATTACGTCGCGTCAAAACTGGAAGTGGAGGAACGTAAGGTTTCACCTGTCCATATCCTGGGGTGCCCGGTCTAGATGGAAAACCTGGCATTCCAGGGTTCAAGGAAGGTGTCCCTACTCTTACGGGATAACCTGGAGTACCAGGCCTTGAAGGATAACCCGGAGTACCAGGCCTTGAAGGATAACCCGGAGTACCTGGTCTTGAAATATATGGCGGTGCCGGTGAACCAGGTCTCGAAACATATGGCGGTGGAACTCCCAAATGTGAATTTAATGGTTTTTTGAGGTTATAGTCATCAAAGATGGGTAGTGTAGGTTCTTTATGTCGTATAATTGTATCGCCTCTTTTCTTAAAATGACTGTAATCACCTTTAGCTTCTGCTTCTGCTTGCTGTTTATATTGCTCGACACGTTTTTTAGATTTCATTTTAAGTAAAAATGCGATTCTATAAAAAAGATAAACATATTTCAATAAAAATTTCGCGTACAAAAAGTTAAAAAAAAAAATCCAGGTCGCCAAATTAATCCATTGCTTTACCTCTTATCTACTTTATGACAACAATATTCTTTAAGATTTCCTCTAATATGACACAAAAGTGGAATATACATGATAAATGCTAAGATCAGTAAGGAGAATGAAAGAATAAAAACGATAAGTGTAAAGGCCATCAAGGCCATAGCAAGTCGTTGAACTATGGTATCTCCATAAGCTGTAATATCCCAATATCTTCGGGTCTTGTTGGATTGAATAAGTGGATAAAGTGTTATGGCATTAATGGCTTGGCGCGGCAACTCTGCAAGTATCAGACGTTTCCATCCTAAAAAAAAAAATACGAAGAGAAAGTTAGAAAATCATCAATGAATCTTTTTTATTTCTCCTTTTTATTTATTTATTTTTTTTTTTTTTAAAAAAAAAAAGATTACCTTTAGATGTAAAGTATATAAAAAAGGCTACGGAGTCAGCTAAACTCGTTGACTCTTGAATTTGACAAAAGAAACAATAATGTGCATAACTTCTTAATGTATAGAATCTTGTTGCAACAAGACTTGTAAATGTATACGAAATATCCCTTGAAGCTATAATAGGCCGAGCTTTCTTTATATCCCAAGCTAATATGAAAAATGACATTAAAATAGCGATAACGTAGATCCATTTTGAAACAAAAAACGGAATTTTCGGTTTTATAGTTGATCCCCATCTATCAAATATCAATAGAATTCCAGCTGTCCATAAATCTGCGACGTATACAAGTATTGTCTTTAATACCACAAGAAAAACTAAACTATATTTCAACTTCCTTATAAATGAATTCTCATAAAAATCTTCTATATCTACAAAATCAAATTTATGATCTTGGATTTCTTTTCGCTCATTTTGCCATTTCGATGGCTTACAAAAACACATTTTTTTAAAATTTGTCGTAATTTCAGGTGAAAAGAATGTTGATTGATTATTCGTTTGTCGGTCTTTTTGCTCTTTTTTATATTATTCAATAGCTCGACCAAAACTAACACATAAAAAGCAGCTTTATGGTTTCGAGCTAACTTAAGGAACAGATAAATCTTATTTTTTTTTTTTTTTTTTTTATTATTATGTGTATATATCAGATTTTTTTATTTACAAAAAAAAAATTAAAAAATAAAATAAAAAAATAATGATAAATCTGGTCAAACAAAGCTATAAAATTTTTTGCAATTTCTGCAAAGGAAATAATTGGAAGAAAATAAAAGAGTGTTAAGGGTATTGAGAGAGAAGAGAGAGAAAAAGGAGTGGGAAAGGATATGTTGGAGGAAAAGGATATGTTGAAGAAAAGAGAAAGGAACGATGAATAGTTGGAAATGTGTTGAAAACGAGTAATATAAGATTGATCCGACTAACGTGCAAAAGTTTCCTTTTTTGGAACAATTTTTAATGTGTGGCGAAAACTACTGGTTCAAATCATGCGTGCGTTTTTTATTAGCATAATATATTGGAATTTATTAGTGTAACCCTTTCGATAATTAAAGAATTGCCAAATTCATGTGACTTTGAGAATAACGAGCCAATAAGTGGCCACTTTTTGGTGAGGCGTATTCATTCATCAAATAAAATAAAAAATAATTCAAATAATTCTAGTAATACTTTTTGAATTGTCTCATAGTATAAACTTCTTTATTCTATTATCATTATTTAATCACATTTTTCAATACCAAGCGTTTCCAATGTATCTTTGATAATTATGATAATTAGATATAATAAATAAAAATATATCCAATCATCCACTTTGTTCTTTGTAATCACGTGATCAGCGATTGTGTTCCAATCAGAAATTTGTGATCCATTAAACGTTTCAGAAAATTCCGGAAACTTATTTCTTTGCAAAGACCCGTTTATCGTATTGATACACTACCTTTGTTTATGTTTGGTTGCTTTTACGCCACACAAATGTTTTCTTCCGC